GGGCAAAATGAAAACTATATTCACACAGAAACCTGTACATGAATGTTTACAGTAGCTTTATATGTAGCAGCCCCAAACTGGAAACAGCCCACATATCCTTCAATAGGTAAGTGGCAAAACAAACTATGGTACATCTATACCATGAAATAATTCTCGACAATAAGAACACCAAACAAACTATTGATACACACATCTTGGATGCATCTCCAGGAGACTTAAACTGAGTGAAAAAAAACCCCAATTCCCGATGATTACAAGCTGTATTATTCCATGTATGATACTTTTTGAAATGACAAAACTTTGGGGGTGTAGGACAGATTAGTTTCCAGGGATTAGGGGTGGTGATGTAAAAGGGCAACATGAGGCATCCATGTCAGAACTACTCAGTACTTTGACTTTGGTGGTTGATGAATGAACCAACATGTGTGATAAAAGGCATTGTATAAACACACACACTAACACAGACACATGCACAAATGAGTCAATGGGGGAAATCTGAATAAGACCAGTGAATTGTATAAATGTCAATATCTTGCTTATAATACTGCACTGCAATTTCTGAGGAGGTGACAAAGAGGGAAATTGGGTAAAGGGTAAATGGGATAACACTGTGTTATTTCTTACAAATATATTTGAATTGTACAATTATCTCAATAAAAACTTCAGTTAAAAACTTTTTTGGGTCATAGCAAGTCTTACATCTTTTGACATGAAATGCTGTTGCCAGGAATACTTAAACATCGTGCCTGGGGTCCTGCTTTGAAAAGCATTCACAGAATTACAAGCTGAAGTCAGGTCTTCAAACACCATGCTAGCACTTTGCCGTCCACAGAAGGTGACTGACTTAATTGGCCCAAACACTGACAGCCTCTGGATTACTGATTGGAGGTCTTCAGCGAGTTGCATGTTCTTCTTCACCCATATAGAAAGGGAACAAATGGAGCAGTAGTACTATTAGAAAATAAACAAGAATCTTATTTCCATTTTTCCCCATAATTTAATAAAAAAGGCATGAAGGGAAAATTGGGATATTTCATTGGAAATAAAAGCAGTGTTCTGGATCAGTAATTACATAATAAACAAAAACAAAAACTTCTTTTGTAAGGGTGGTAGTGCTTGGGTGGCTCAGTCAGTTAAGTGTCTGACTCTTGGTTTTGGCTCAGGTCATGATCTCACAGCTTGTGGGTTTGAGCTCCATGTCAGGCTCTGCACTATCAGTTCAGAGACTGCTTGGGATTCTCTCTCTCCCTCTTTCTCTGCCCCTCCCCCCTCTCAAAATAAAGAAATAAACTTTCAAAAACAAACACTTCTTTGTAAGGGATGGAGGAACAGAAGCCAGGGAACCATCGCTGGGCTGTTGATGTCAAGGGCATACCACCATAGTTCCAAGCTAGAATTTAGGAAACTGCTGCTGCCACCCTACTGGCTGTTGTACTCATGAAACTTGTGTGACTAGACCCAAACTTGGGGTCTAGTTGCCAAAATTCTCAGGTTAGTTTGACTAGAAGTAGAAAGATGGCCTTTGTTTTACCTCAACCTACCAGACAGAGGGGGAACACATCTGATTGCTGTGAACTCAATTTGCTTCCAAAATATCAGATGCAAAATGATCTGGGAAATGTGGGCTTTAACACTTCAATTTTTACAGGTAGTAAATGGAATGGGGATTGAAAGGGTCAATCATGATATTTACCATAACCAGCCACTAGCTATGTGACCTTAGGCAAGTTTATTAACCTTTCTGGTCCCCATTTTCTATCAAACAGAGATCATTATAAAGGAGATATAGCATAGTGCTTGGCACATCTTACTGCTCACTTAATACATTCTAGTCATTATCATTGGTTTTCTAACCTGATGTATGGTGAAAGAATATTACAAATGTTCCATAGGTTAAAAGCAAAGGAAAGAACGATTAAAACAGAAGAGATAGTTTGGAGGTGAAAGCAGAGGTCTTATTTTTGAATACTTCATGTCTACTCAATGTCAAGTAATAAAGATGTGAAAAAACTTATTCAGCATATTAAGTATTGAGTACTAAATATACTTATTAAGCATAGTAAGCATATTAATTATACTTATTAAGCATATTAAGTATTAAGTATAGAATGGTTGATGCTGTGAACTGAATTGAATCCTCCCAATATTCATATGGTAAAGCCCTAACTCACCATATGATGGTATTTGAAGACGGGGGCCTTTGGGAGGTAATTACATCATGAGGGTGAAGATCTCATGATGAGATTATTTCCCTTATAAGTAGAGACAGGAGAGAGATGATGTCTCTCTCTTCACCATGTAGGACACAGCAAGAAGATGGCCCTTGGTTATCCAGATGGAGAGCTCTCACCAGGAACCAAATCAGCCAGTGAATACCTCCTCTGAACTCAGAGCTATTACTATCCACTAAGTAGCACATCCTCCTCAGAGATTTGTTTTGAGTTGACAGGACTTGTTATGGGGTTGAATTGTGTGCTCCCCTCCCCTCAATTTTATGTTGCAGACAACCTCCCTGCCAGTACTTTAGCACATGACTTAATTTAGAAATAGGGTCATGGCAGAGGTAGTTAAGCTAACATGAGGTCATATTGAGTGGGCCCTAATCCAGTATGAGTGGTGTCCTTATAAGAGAAAATTTAGACACAGATACATGTACAGGGAGAATGCTATGTGAACATGAAGATGGCCATAAAAAGCTAAAAGAGAAACTGTAGAGGAAACTAACCCTGACAATCCCTGATTTGGGATTTTCAGAATTGTGAGGAAATAAATTTGTATTATTTAAGCCACCCAGTCTGTGGTACTTGTTGTGGCAGTCCCAGGAAACCAACATACAGCCCTACCACCTTTCTTCAGAGAAGTTTTCTAGGGAAATATCCTTCACTTTTCAACCTTTCACTGTGTCTCAGAACTACCATTTCCCTCAATATTTTGTAATTATTTTATTTATAGGACCTACAACATCATCAATTTTCTATGGGTCTTCTATTGTTATACTTCTACTGTCATACTAGAAAAGGCAAATGTTCAGTATTCAGTGGTGTGATAGGAGGTCTCACAGCTGCAGGATAAACTTGGTAGGTCCTCTCTGAGTAACCATTTTTGTTCAGCAATTTTGGGGAAAATGTTAAATAATGTATTTGAAAGTATATTTATATTAAAACAAACATGTTTTCAAGATAATTTAGTAGATTTCAAAGACATTTCTTGCTTATAGTAAGTTCCCCTAAGTGAAAGTGTTCACTATCTTGTGCATCAGGGCCTCTTCATTAACCATTCAGAGGCAGCCTTCTACTATTGCATGTAATACACATTTATTCAGTTCTATGTATAGAATAGACAGATGAGGGACAAAGTGTGAAACCAAAGACAAGTCTATCTATAAAGATAAGGAGTATTCCTGAGGAGCTTAGGGGACAAACAGATTTTAATTTTAATTTTTTTTAATGTTTATTTTTGAGGGAGAGAACAGAACATGAGGGGCAGGGGCAGAGACAGAGAGGGAAACACAGAATCTGAAACAGGCCCCAGGCTCTGAGCTGTCAGCACAGAGCCTGATGCGGGGCTCCAACTCAGGAACGGGGAGATCATGACCTGAGCCAAAGTTGGACGCTCGACCGACTGAGCCACCCAGCTGCCACAAACAGATTTTTATTTTAAACCTGAGTTTTTCTGATTTGGGGATTTGAGGTCTGTAATAACTTGCATGATAGGTTGGGGACTCTCTAGTCACTCACTTTGTGATTTGGAGTGATGATCCGAGGTGATTTACTGCAGAGAGGAATAGCTGCAGATAAGCAGAGCAGTGGAGACAGGGAAGTTTTTGTCTCTTCTGTGGATTCCAGCCAACTGCTTAGGTACACACACCTGCTGCCCTCCCAGTGTGTGAGTCACCTCTGCTCTTCTCTCTGCCCAATGTGCGGCTGCCATATGGAAGCCAATTCAGCAGACATCAAGCTAGGACCCCACCTTGCATTTGAATTGTTATTTTTTTGAAATTGGCCATGTCTAGGTTTATAGGACCTTGCAGTCTTTTCAACATTTCCTTAAGTTGCACATGAGTGAGGCCAGACTTACTTGTACTCTGCCAGACCTCTGAACTAGAATACTTTGAATCCAGTTACTTGGAACTTTGTGCCTGGTTCCAAGCTTCAGGGAAATATGAGAAGAGCCAGAAAGCCAGGATACAGGTGAGGTTAGTCTTAACTCACATCTGTGACACCATTTAGGGTCCTTGTAACGCTAGTGCTTTCAGTACACATAAAACCAAACTCATCAAAAGGCACTGCAACAGGTTTCCATAAATTATTTATCAAAGCTAATGGCCCCAGGCCCTGTGACGCCTAGATTTGGAATTCAAGGCTTTCTCCTCACTTAAAGGTCAGTCCATGCTTTCTCTCAGCATCCTCTGGAACTATTAGCATTCCTGGGAGATTCAGAGGGGCGGAGGACAAGAGATAGGGGTTCCAAGGAGGGTAAGATGGTGAAGTCTAGGCCACTGACGGCCCGACCTCTCCACGCCAGGCCTTGCCAAGGGACTGGCCAGGCGTAAAGACCTGGTAACAGTTCCCTTCCAGAACCCGGACAGAGCAGACACAGCCCAGCTGCCAGCCCGCCCCTCCGGGGCCCAACCCACCCCCGGAGCCCGCGCGGCCAGCAGCGGAGGGGGCGTGGCGTGGCGCTGCGGCCGTCGGCGGGGGGCGGGGCCTGCCGCGGGCGCAGAGGGAGCGTCGCGGGCTGACGCGAATGACGCGGCGCCCGCCAGGCCGCAGCCCCGCCGCCCGGCAGTGGGGCCCGCCTCGGCCCGCCCCCGGCCCTCCCCGCCCGGCCTCCCCAGCGCCCCTGTCAGATTGTGGCGGCGGGCCGCGCGGTGCGCTAGTTCCTTGCAGCCTGGGCGAGGAGACTTGCGCGCGGGCACACCCCCACGTCCCTTAGGCGCCGCTGCCTCCGCTCCACTGGCCTCCGCTCCGCCCAGCCTTCTGCCGCACGCCCGTAGCGACATGGCACACGCGGCGGTACGCTGCCCCAGCGCTCGGGGCTCCGGGGACGGCGAGATGGGCAAGCCCAGGAAGGTGGCGCTCATCACTGGCATCACGGGCCAGGTGAGTGCCGAGGAGGGGGTTTGAGCCGGGCCTGCTGCTGCCGGGGCACATGTACGCCTTGCCCCGCGCTCGGGGCTGCCCGCGTTTCCAGGAACAGCCTTCTGGGCATCCCGGAAGGTTTCCGATGTGGCTTGTCGTAGAGCTCGGAGACAAGATGTGTCTTGTGGAGAGTGTCCTGGATACATTGGATGCTTCTAGGCTTACCTTGGGGGCGTGGGGGCGTGTGTTCTACTTGGGATGTGGTCCTCAAACCTGAGCAAGATTACGCTGTCTCACCTGTCCTGCCGGCGACTGGAGCGCTTGTTTTTCCAAGCCCTCTAGGGTCCACTTCCAACTCAGTTCTTTAGAGATCCTAGTGCTGGAGGAGGGAAAGGGACTGGTTTTCCGTGAGAGAGAGAGAGAGAGAGAGAGTGTGTGTGTGTGGAGTCAACTTGCTGTATTTCCGTGTAAGGGCCAAGGCCACTTACCTGCTAATGCTTGGGAAGCAGGGGAGTTCTTGCTCTTTTCGTTCCCCCCAACCAGATTTCCAGACGAAAAGACAAAATAAAGTAGTGCCGTGGGGCCACAGACCAGGAAATGTTTTTGTTTGGGGAGTACACCTCACAAAACCTTTTTAAGTACAACAAACTCCTGAAATTCATGTTAACACATTTGAAGTGTATGTGACAGACTGGTCCAAAAGTTAGGCTAGGGTTCTATTTTCAAATAAAAGGAGTTCCTTGAGTGAGATAATCATGAGGAGCTGTCCTGCATGTTGGAACCCCCATATGCAGACTGAGCGTGACTGTTCCTGACAGTCATCTCTTAGAGATGTTGCAACAGGTAGGACCCGACCACTGTATCTAACCAGACTGTGCTGTGTGAGATTCATTGGTGATGGAATAATTTTGCTCATGTATTTTTGTAGATAGTATTTCTGGAGATTTCCTGGTAGTGGCTAATATTACTCTGTAATGAAGATGATAATAATAGCTAATAAATGTTGTGTTTATTATGTATCGATCACTTGACTAATATTAACTCATTTAGTTTTTACAAGTACTCTTTGAAGGGGATTTTTTTTTTTAACCTTCACTTTACCGATGTGGAAAGTGAGGCATGGGGGTTTGATTTGCTGAAATCAAACAACTAGAAGTGTCTAATTCGGATTCAAACTCTTTTCACAAAGCACTCTAGCATTAGAAAAGAAGTTGGAATTGGCCAGATGTAGAGTCAAAGAATATTAGACAATTTTAACTACTGGATATCTGATTAGTTTCTGATTATTCGTGCATCTTACTTTGTTTAAGCTAATTACAGTAAACAACTGTTTGAAAACTGGTTGAAGAGGTGTGTAGGACAAGGATTTGAGGTTGAGGAAGTGAACCATTAAATTAGTCAAGGGCCCATATGCTTCCAGGTCACGGCCTACATACTTTTTTTTTCTCTCTAATGGTGAGGACTCTTCCAATTTCTTATACTAGATCTGAAGGTCAAATGTTTACTAAGGTTATATGAACTCTTGAAGGTAGAGATTTTTTTTTTTTTAGTACCATTAAGAAATTAGTTAAGCTGTTAATGTAACTCTGTTGGTATGGCTTATACCAATTTGAGTGACCAACACTGTGAATCAATGCAGGTTAGAAATAAAACCTTGTTGAGAGCTTTGAACACAGTCATCTGGTTGGTACTGAGTGACAAGGGAGGAGCAGAAGTGGCCCCCACTGTAGTTTGTCCTGTAGGCTGCCACAGGGGAGTCTTTCTTATACATGTGTTCAGCATGGTATGCCCTGGCCAGACACTTTTGGTTCATCACTTCATTTCTGACTTTAAACTCCTGCTTGAGTTTCAGGCTCCTTTTACTCTCAGCACCAGCATTTTAAGCTTTCCTCCAACATTCACCCTCTGCATTATTCCTTTCCATGTTGGGTTGTTGTGTTGGCTTCCATAGCCCCTGGCACAATGTTGAACTCTGTATTGCCATGTAAGTCCTTGTTAATGGAATTTAATGCCCTGCTATACTTTGCATTTATCTTCTAGGACAGTGACTCCCTACCTGGGTATTAAGGAACTCCAGAGGACTATGGAGTTAATACCAGAGGTCTGAAAATCTATACGTTATTATTCATTTTAAAAATAATATTCAGTGAGAGCTTACTGAGCCACTCTGCAAACATTTTATATCCCTACCTTAGAGGCAGATACAATTTTTATTCCCAATTTACACCTACCTAAGTAAGGTTAAGAATGTTCCCTGGGAATGCACATCCAATGAGTGTCAGAGCTGAGATTTGAACCGAGAAGTTGCTTAGACCCATTTTGTTAACACACTTCTGTGGTAAGCTACACACAATTAAAATACAGTTTTGTGTGTGTGTGTGTGTGTGTTAGAGAGTGAGGGAGAAAGAGAGATTGTTTTACTCTAAGAAGTCTCAGATTCAAGAAGATGAGGCAGACACCATTGCCCTTAGGGCATTCGTGTCATTGTGCCATGATGGGCTCTTAGATGGGTTGTCCCAAATTCCCACTTGAGAATGAATGCAGATAGCCATGGTGCCCTGTCTGCTATTTATCATCTCTAGTATTTATCATCAGGCTTCATAGTCTAGCTTCAGCCCTCCTGCATATTCTTAATACAGTAGTTGTGAATCATTTTCTCAAGTTTTTACCTCATTAAATCACCTTAAAGAAAAACAGGCTCTGGCTTTGCATTGCTGCCTCTAGGCCCTCTACCAGTCATCCCCAAAGCTCACCTCCATTGATTGTCTTAATTGTGCTTGTGGTTCTTTACTACATATATGGGTGGAACTGTTCTTGCTGTTGTGTGAATACTGTCTCTTTGTACCTAGTTGGAGTCATTTTGTGGCTGAATGCCCTCACACGTTGTACTCCTTTTCACTCTCCTAAAAGCCTCTGTGCACTCCAAGTAATCCTGCCAAATGCAGCCATTCCATGAACTTTCTTTGTGTTTACATATATGCACCCCCCCCCATTGGCTTTATAGGTAATTTACATATCTTGGTTCTTTGGTTGGTGAACTGCTTCAAGATCGAAACCTTTTCAGCATGTTATCTCCCACATAGTTTTAGTTAGTGGGCTTTCAAATATGTTGACTTACTCTTCTCATTAACAACACATCTTTGTTCCGTGTCTGCAAGGTACAATGCTTGTTTTGATGCTGGTGGGAGTATAAAGATATTTAAATTTACTCATTGCCCACTGGGATTTCACAGTCTTTGAAGAACTTAAGACAATGCACATGAAAAAAGTAGTGTTGTACAAGTATGTTAGGGGCCAAATGAGTGGTTTATCTAACCTCAGGATTCTGGGAGAAGTTGTTGAATGCTAGAAATAGCAGGGACTATATTGGGGTGAACAGCATGCATAGGAGTCAGAGAGGGGAGGGTTTGGGGACAGTGAGCACAGATACAATAATAACAGAGGGAATTTAACTTATAAATTAGTTATACCCTTGCTCATTTCCAAAAAGATTCTGAGGTGGCATCAATAAAAAAACACATCATTGGACCATCATAAAAAGAATGAAAAGAAAAAAAGCCCCAGCACCCCAAAACCAAAAAACAGGAGTCTGCAGTGAAGGCAATAGAAAGGTGGAGGTAGTGTACCAAAACCCAAAACTAAGAGGTGGCTGCTGTCAAGGTGGACATAAGATTCAACTTTGAGGTTCCTTATAGTCAAGACAAAGTGATAGGTGAATGATAGGTGAGTGAAACTTTTTATTAGTATTACACTCTTAGAGAAATAACTTAAAAAAATGTTTATTTATTTTGAGAGAGAGAGAGGGAGGGAGCATGTGCACAAGCAGGGGAGGGGCACAGAGAGAGAGGGAAAGAGAGAATCCCAAGTAAGCTCTGCACTGTCCGCACAGAGCCTGATGTGGGGCTTGATGTCACGAACCGTGAGATCATAACCTGAGCCGAAGTCAAGAGTCAGCTGCTTAACCAACTCAACCACCCAGGTGCCCCTAGAGAAACAACTTCTAAACAACAGAACAACATGATGCACAATATGCTTGATAGTAGTTTTTTAAAGAAGACACTCATCTCCCTGGGACACTTTTATTACTCCCTATTGGATGACAAAGGCACACTTTTTTGATAGAGGCTTAGATAATTGAATGGTTAGTGTTTGTGAATTTTTCCCTTTTTTAAACATATACTTTTCTAACATCTGTTATTTCAAGCTGGTCCCTGCCGAGAGAGCAGGCAAGTTGGAGCTGTAGATTACTTTGTCAGGTATGTTGATTGTCAGTTTAATGTTGGTGTTTTAAAAGTGGAAGAATTTGACATGGTGAGGTCCTTCTCACTTGTAAGTTGGTCTAGATTTTCTTTGGGAAGTGGTTTAGATCTGGCCAAACATTTAAGCAAGTACCTATTCAAGGTTCCAGATTTCTGCATCATGACAGATGGAAGAGAAAGCATTTATCTTTAAATAGTCAGGAGGAGTTAACTTGTCTGTGTTTGGAAGACAACAGAGAAACTTTTGGTCCCTTTGGGTTATCAAGGTCAGATTCTTTAAGTCATATTTTGTTTCAGAATTTTTTTTTATGGCTTATTTTTTATTTTCACTGATTTTGTTTCATTTGAGCATACTCTAGCTTCCATGAAACAATCCTGGTCTTTAAAGAAAACACGTTAAATGGATAACCTAATTCCCTGGATTCGGGTGGCTTTTGCAGGCTTCCTTTTCTTCATTGAAGGGTTAATTTAGCACATTAGAAAATAATAATTGAGAATTGGCAGGAAGTACCATTCTCCCCACAATTTTCCTTAACTCTTTTTAATTAATTCTTCAATTGAATTATAATAGATGAAGGGGATACTACCTCTTTTGGTTTTACTTTCTGATGCATATTCAGTTTCCCACAAATTTCTACATTCCAATATAGGTATCAGAATCATCACTTATGGAGATGGAGATTTATTTTATTTATTTATTTATTTATTTATTTATTTCTTTATTTATTTAATATGAAATGTATTGTCAAACTGGTTAACATA